AAAAAAAAAAAAGAGTGGCAACAAGCAACAATTTTAAACGATTTTATTTTGAATTCTGAAATAGGTAAATGATAAAAATTGCACAAGACAATAAGCAACTTTTCCTGACAAGTCATTTTTATCGGTTCAAAATTTTAAACTAGTCTAAAATTATTGCTTCAACTAAACAACAACAACAGTTACTCTTTTACTATTCTGCTGCTTTAAGTGTCTTTGTCAAGCACACTGTGACTTTCTGGTTAATACACACTATCTTAGATTGTTTCTAGTTTTCCCTAGAATTTGGCATAGTTATTAGCCTCTATCTTAAAGCGATATTTTTGACAGCGATATTCATTTGCATTCCTATAAAAAAATGACCAATCGATTGCCAAAATACTGTTTGATTCCTGTTTGACAGTTTCTGCAGATTTTCTCTTTGTGATAGTTAGCTGTCTTTTCAGGCTTTTTTCTTGAACTTGGGAACAGGTTTTTGCATTGTGCCAACACTAATGAGACAGATAACAAGAAACTACAGACCTTATGAAGAACACTAAGATTAATAAGTTAATATGTTGACGCTTATATATGCATAAAAAAAGCAACTTTATAGATAACTACGCAATTAACTTTTATGCTTAAATAAAGTTAGCCGAAAAAAAAAAGAATTATCATAAACTAAATAAAGGTGTAATCAGACATCATTTTTTAACAGTTTAACAACAGAGTTTAAAGGTTGATTGCGTAATTTAGTTTTCTTTTCTTTTTCTTTAATAGCTGATTACTTTTTTTTGTATCACTGTAAACAAATAAATAAACTGACAACCGAACCCTTTGATCTTCGGTGGCACATTGATCAGACGGCAAAATTGAGATATTATAAATGCTCAGATCAGCTTCACCATCAATTTCTCCCAAAAACATTTATTCTATGACCATAAGATATTGCACAAAAGTAGATTTGAATAATACACCTAAAATAGAAAAACAGTCATTGCTTTCCTTCACTTTCTTTACTTTTTTTTTTACCACAATTGTCATTATCACCGCACATTTAATCTATACAGAGTTTGTCTGGCAGTTAGATCAGTTTACTGGTAAAACAATAAATAACAGCAAAAACAGAAAAAAAACATAAACAGTAAAAAAACAAAAGTCAGTATAAAAAGAAGAATTTGATGCTTGTGAAAATTTTTTTTTATTCTGCTCAAATATTAAACGAAAAGATTTCGTTTTGTTTGCATTAAGAAAACTCTGTCTTTCGTCTGAACACAATTTTACAACATTTTCATCTGTCGTAAAGGTGCCCATAAACTAATGAGGCATAAAATTGCATTGTCAAAGTTCAAGATAAGGTGAGCTATAAGTGAAGAGAAAAAAGATTAAAGTATTGAATTGTTGCAAATCGTTAAACATTAACCATAGAAAAAAAAAAAATTCTAACGTTTTTCCATTTGCTGATAATAAACTTTCCTTATTAGACTTGTCTCCCACTATTTCACAACTTTTATTCCTTTTTTTTTCTATTTTTCATTTTCTATGGCTTCATAATCTTCAAACTGTTTGTAGTAAAAAAGTTGTTAATATACTTCCCAAAATAAATCCATCATTAAGCATAGATAGCAACGACTATCGACGATACAAATGAAAAGAACTTATTATAATTTTGAAGGCTTAGTTTAAAGCAGTTTTATTCTGTCCTTCTTTTTTCAGTCTTTTTTTTTCTTGGCCACTTGTTACTGCAAGTCGAATTGTCAA